AAAGAATTAATATTTTTTTCTTTGTGCTTTTGGTATTGTTTAAATTATCCACCACAAACCTACATTTATTTTCTAATCAGTCAAAAGTTTTTATAATCAGAAACAAATATGTGGTATTTTGAAGTGTTAACTTTATGCATAAACAGTTGTTCAAATACTCCTTTAAATGAATCTGTATTTTAAATCTTAGATAATCATAAAATTAATCCAGAACCAAATTCCTTACTTTTCTTAGAGATTCAAAGCCTGGGACTGTGTGGGTTCAAATGTGACATTTTGAGGGCAGAACTGCCCAAGAACAAAAAAGTGGTGGGGTCTTTAAAGGGAGAGTGTTTTTCTTTTGTCATTCCTGTCACCCATTAATTGTATCGTTACCATAAAAAATAAAATTTATCTGCTTTTTGGTGATGGATAAAGGCAATCTCTCATATGATAAATAAACTAACAGGTTCAATTAATCTGAAACCAATTCTTGGAACACTAAACTGATTATATTTCCTTTATCACCCTTTTAAAAGAAGAGAAAACACAAGCTCCCATCAAATCTGTCAAAAGAAAAAATCCTTGCCCTAGCCCAGTGGTTCTCAACCTTGGCTGCACATTAGAATCACCTGGGAATTTTTTTAAAATCCTGATTTCTGCTCCTCATTGATGTTTCTATCTCCCCCTTGCTCTTCCTCTCTGAAATCAGTAAAAATATATTAAAAAAAAAAAAAGATAAAATCCTAGGGTTTTTATCTTTTTTGTAGGTCCTGGGGTTGGTGGAGATTCATTTTAGTATCCGAAGCCTAACAATACCCACAGTGATCAGAGACAACAGAATAAAGACTCAACTCATTGAAAAAGTCTGAACAGATTTAAAAAATTAAATAAGGTACCTTCTACTTGGAGGAATTTTTTTTAAAAAATATATTTTATTGATTTTTTACAGAGAGGAAGGGAGAGAGAGATAGAGAGTTAGAAACATCGATGAGAGAGAAGCATCGATCAGCTGCCTCCTGCACATCTCCTACTGGGGATGTGCCTGCAACCCAGGCACATGCCCTTGACCGGAATCGAACCTGGGACCCTTCAGTCCGCAGGCCGACGCTCTATCCACTGAGCCAAACCGGTTTGGGTTACTTGGAGGAATTTTTAACAAGGGTGAAAACAAAAACGTTCTGGTAATATTTAGCTATTGTGAAAACCCAATTAAACAGACCAGGACATCTCCTAAAAATTTTGGCTACTTACAATTTCACTGTAATATGAAACACAGGTTCTGAATTTATAGCCAAGCTTCCCTGGAGAGTTTTATTATTATTATTATTTTTTTTAATTTTTATTCCCCCCTCCCCCCCGGAGAGTTTTAGTTCATGCCTTTAACAAACTTAGACAAACAAACAAAAACAAACAACAAGACAAAAACAACCACTTCAATGATTTGGGGGTTTACTGGTCCAACTACTAAGCAAGTAAAATAATCTCAGAATGTGATAAATTGTACTCATTAACTAAAATATGGAAAAATTAAGATATAAGGATCTAGGATTAAAACCACAAGATTTTGTGGCAATAGAAACTATTGTATCAAAAATACTTTACATGGAGACAGTGATTTTATTATTAATAAAAAAGCCCACAAGACTCACAAATAATCAAGGACAGCGAAAGTTACCATTGAGTTGAAAGGCTATAAACAGGTGCTGCTAATATTGTTGCTTCCTTAGCTCCCAGGGTGACTACTGCTGGAGTTAGTGTGGCAGGTATGAATGTAGGATCCACCTAAGGAGATCTGGAGTGGTCTCTATTGGTCCTGGGGAGATCTACATCATGTTTGTGGTCCTAACCTGAACCATCCTCCTAGGAGTTCTCTAAAACAAAGGCAATCTAGATTAAGGTGGCCTGGTACAATGAACTACTGCACACATACTCTTCTCCAAATCCCCAGTGGGCCCATAAAAGCCTCTTCTGGACACTAAAATCTCACATGGACAGTTCATTTGATTCCTCATTTAGTCAACTTTCTATTATAGCAGTACTTTATGCCTGTGTAATTAATTCTGAATTGTACCCTCAACCATTCAGCTTAACTTATATATATCTTAACTTGATATATCTGTCAACTGATATATCTCCCTTCTACAAATTTGAACTCTTCAGCAATTCTTAAAAACACTATTCACGCAACATCTGCTTTTGAGTTTCAATTACTAATAATCACAATCCAGATATATCCAGGAATACTTCTCAGGGAGATAGATCTACTATCCTTCTTAGTTTCCAGGACTATAAGGTTATACATGTTACTATATTATGCCATCTTTTTCTTTTGTACCCACTTCTTCCATTCAAACTCCTCTGCACTTTTGCCATCTTGTCCAAATTATTGCTTAAAATACATCTATGCCATTGGCCCTCAGCTCAGTCATTTTCCTCTGTAATGACTCCTGAATGCTGCCAGGTGTACTTGCTTGATGATGGTCACACCAGTCTTCAAATCCCTGAAATGACTTCCTATTCCTCATTTCAACCTTCACTTTCAATTACAGATTTCATGCACATCATAGTTTCCCCAAAGAGATCTAGATATTTAAGGTTCTGGAAGAATCTGCCCTTCCTCTTATCCCAACATTTCCAGGATTGCTCAATTTTCCCCTCCAAAGCCTTTGAATTACTAATCCATAATTTTGAATTTTTTGTATAAAGTCTTATAGTTGTTTCTGTTGTGAAATTTCTAGATCTTTCATGGGATTCAATCCAAACTAGATTGTTTATTACTTCTCAAAATTACTCCTTATTGGACCACCTCCTCACTATCTGTTATGACATACACTATTCCCAGACATTTCTCTTTCTCCATTTCAAACTCTGGTCAATCCATTCTTTAAAGCACATTTCAAACAACCATTCCAAGTTTTACATGTCTGAGTTTAAAGTGAAAGCAAACATTTCTTAACTCAAAGAATACATTTTATAACCATGAACACTTTATTTAAGAATAGAATTCTTTTCTGCCGCCTCCACAATTCATTTAGCACAGTAGCAGACATCCTGTTGGTGGGTTATCAACATATTTGTTCAATTAACCAGTTTTCCCATTAATATCAACATTATGTCCTGCTCTCTGTCACTTGAATAACCTTAAAGAGACCTCACCAAACATGCTTTAAACTAAGATGTCTCCTAAAGACCACAGTCAAATCCCTGCGATTACAGCTACCATCTATAGCTATGAGCCAAATGCTTTACAATTATTATCTCTAATCTTCCTGAATGAGGAAACTTAGAATTTGGGAAGTAACTTGCCCACAGATAGTAAGTGGTGAAGCTAAGATTTGACCAAGCTTCTCTCTAGTTTCAAAACCCATGCGTTTCCATAAAATTCAGTTATTCTGTCAACTCATTTGGGTTCTGAAGAAAACTTGGAATTTTAACTTGAACTCTCAGGTATATATGTATCACAATAAGAATCTCCCCCCCCCCTCCACACACACACTTTATCTAGTAAATTTCTTAAGAACAGAAAGCTCTGTTGTACAAAATGAGTACTCTTCTAAGTCCTTTACGCTAAAAGAAGTCATATTCATACTAAACAATTTATTGAGGACATTTCCTTCGTAAGGAAGTGACTTTTCCTAATGATCAATTTGAAATGACTTTAAAACCCAGCCAACAAATTGAGTATATGGTAGCTACCAATTTTCTCAAATATGCACCTTATATTTAGGTATCTTCCATAACTGCTCAAGTGTCAGTAGCTAGTATTATACTGGGGAGTAAATTGTAGCCACATCAGACCTGTTGCAAAGTAGGTCTTAAAAAAAAAAAGTCAAGAGTGCCTCTCAACACCAAGGCTCAGGATTGTAAAATGTTCCCCTTACTCCTTTTAACCTCTATGCCCATTCCTACCTACATTTCCTGGTTCTGACAGTTTTTCCTGTTGAGCATATTCTCCAGACCTGACTCCTCAGCTGTTTTCCCTGAAACGCGTGGCCCCTGCGGGCACTGCTCTGCCAAAATAGATTAGAAATGCGAAGAACAGACCACACACCCGGGGGCAGTACGCTGTGGCCTCCGTCTACATGAGCCACTCGACGCACAGACTGGCCGGATGGCCACTGTTCTCCAACAAATCCTACCACGACAAAGCAATTTTCCGGCAAGCTGGAGAACAGAAACCACCGCCTGGGAACCGCACCGAGTCTTAAAGATGAGGAGCGAAGACGTCAATTTACCCACGCGGAGGGGACGGCGAGGGCTTTCAGCACCGCAGGGCGATACTTTCTAAACTGTCACTAGACTCCTCAAACCGGAATCTCCCGCCCAAAAAAAGTGTGGCACATGCTAAGTCTAAACAAGGCCTCCCTCGAGCGCCTCGCGCCGGGAAAGATGCGCCGTGGCCGTGTGATTCATTGGAGGGGAAGAGGGGGAAAGGGGCAGGAAATCCTATTTCCAGCAGCTCTCAGAGCGGGAAAGGCCGGTCTCCGGCTGGAGAACAGCTGGGCCCCGGGCCCAGAGCCTTGGAAGGAAAAACCCAGGCCTTCTCGACGTCCTGAAGCTGTGCCCTCCCGCCTGGAGCCCCAACCTCACTCGGGTTTTCCTTCTCCCCGTCCCACTCGTAGCCTCACCACTGCTCCCATTTCCCTCCACCACCCCCACCCGCGCAGGCGCAGTGGGAACCCGGGCCTACCCGCGTCCCCGAGGCGCCGCGACTATGGCGGAGCCGGAGCAGGCCGGCAGCAGTCTCGCTTCGGGCAGGCGTCCCTCCTCCCTCCCCGCGGCTTCCC